CCTCTCCTGCGACTGTGTGGCCTGCTAACAACAACAGATGACTGGGAGTGCAGAAATATGCAGGTGCTGATGTGTGAACCTATGAGCCGGACCCTCTACATGGCTACAAATGTGAATAATGTGAAGATGACTTCTTGAGGTAGATGTAATTCATACACAGCGCTGCCATAATATGCACGGCCCCCTCCTTATGTTCTTATTCCAATCTTGCCTACAGAAAACACTTTCAGAAATGCAATGTGGATGAGGACACTTAAAGGTCGGTTTATGGCAAAAATGAAATATTAGAAATACAAAAACATTACAACTACATAAACTGCAGGGTTCACTGCTCCTTTGTGCTTGTACTCAGCACTGGCTAATTAATTTGCTTGTTCCAGATACCACAACAGATACTTTACATCACAACAGATCAACATATTTTACCGAGAGCAACTCTGGCCAAGTGTTTTATGTAATTAATTTTACTGTACTTAAGCATTTTCATTTATTTAAAACAAGAAGATGTCAGTCCTCTTCTTTTGTTCAACTTGCACCAATATGCTGCACAGGCTGCTTCATTGTTTTCTGTCAGATCTAATTATTCCAGTTTGTCATAAGCCTGTCGTGCACCACAGGCATGCTTTATGACGGTGCCTAATAAATGAAACTAGAACGCACGTCTATGTGAGGTTTTCAGATTGTCAGTACACTGATTTGATAATACGTCACATCAGTATTCAGCATCAACTGATCTTCTTCATGAAATACTCGGATTTGGACTCCGCATTAGACATGGCTGACGGCTGTTCGTAAAGGGGACGAAGGATCGCACAAGACTTAAAAGGACCCATATTTCGTAACTGAATTTTCATTATTGACGCACTGGCAGTTGTGATAATGCCAATGCAGTGCAATACAAATGAGCCCATGTAAGGGAAACACTGAATTGACATTTCACTCTGCGTGTGGCTGGAGACGGGAGCACATATGACAGTTTGGGGGCAGCCTTGGGGAGGAGGCATGTAGGGTGGGGGAGTGGTGACATGATGACCATAAAGGGGAGAGTTAACATGCGAGTGTCATGTTAAGGAGCTGAAACCGGTGTGCCTTACAAGAGTAAAGAACGAGAGAGAGAGAGAGATGTATTCTATTTCCTGCTTTTTATGAATGGTGCCTTTCCTCTTCCTTCTTCAATCTGATTATTCCTTTGTGCTTTGGCAAATACGGCTGCTGCACTTGTGCCAAATGAACTGAATTGAACACACGCATACACAGAGAGTGAGAGAGAGAGAGAAAGACAGAGAGAGAGACGGGGAGAAAATAGGAGTTGGGCAACTTTGTCTTGGGAATTTTTAGCTTATCGTTGCCAGTTCAAAAGTCAAGGGTGACTCTGCCGCTGTGCTGTGGCTCAAAGTTCAACAGCAATCATTAAACAGCAGTGCAGAGCATACTGGATTGTGTACGACCCTCTGTAACAAATATTAACACACATAGGCTGAACACACAACCCGACACACGCCCTCTACCTCTCTACAATGCTGCTCCCCTTCTGTGGGTATTTCTTCTTTTCTGTGAATAATTCAGGCTGCTGACTTCTGAAGGACACCTAGACTTTTAGGCTACAGTTACACAAAAGCTCTCTGGGTACATGCAGGTTACTATAGTAGCTATGCAACCACGGGGCGTATCTGCAATGTAGAGCCATGGCAGCAAAGCATTTTATCTTAGTAATTATGGACATCAACCAATTATTTTCTTCATTGTAAATTAACCTATTAATCATCAATGTCTACGTCTAGAAAATCTAAAAAATAATGACAAACGCCCATCAATAAGGCCAAACCATTACAGTTTGTATACCAAACTGATAAAAGCACATTTTTATTTATAAAGCTGTATCTATATCTATAGGATTTTAAAATCAAAGCAAGTTATCAAGAGACATACAGCAAAAACTATGTTAAATCTTGGGTGCAATTTACTTTGAGCAGCAGGGGAAAATCCAAACAGATCTCCAGATAATCCTTTAATGCCTGTTTTTAAGGCAAGTGGTCGGAAGCTAACTGTTGGCAGCAATATGTTCTCATTAGCAACCAGATATGCATTTCTCTGTGGGCTCCTGGGTAAAAAAGTAAACAAAACTACACTTATTCTACAGAAACAAGCAACGCTCGTTTTAATATGTGTTGCTCGTAGTGAACAAGGTAATGAGCTATCTCAGTGATCTGTCCATTCATATCAAGCCACCCCTTGCCTGACCCCCTCCCTTTGCTCTGGCCCGTTAAAGCGATCAGTCTGGTTAATGCCCTCTCCTAAATGAGCTTTGATCTCGTTAGCGCGACACAAAGCCTCTTTACTGCCAACGATAGGACAAATCGGCTCTCTGAAACAGAGAGGGAGACAGACCGAGAGAGAGTCAGAAACTACTCCCGACTGCATCTGAGTGGACCACAGCACAGCCTCGAGGGGGAAGCTTCAATACTACCACCAGAGAGAGTGGGAGAATATAAAAGGAGATGGAAGTGGGACGATACATGAGGGAGATGAGGAGAAAAACAAACAGAGAGAGGAAAACAAGGGACGAGACAGACGTGGAGCTGGAGGGGGGGGGGGGGGGAGTGGACTGGTGTTGTAAAGATTTGAGTGATGGATGATGGAAGACAGAAAGGGAGAGATAACATGCAAAAGATGGCAGAGGCGGGGGGTGAGATGGGACAGCAGCAGCGACAGAGGAGATTGGGGGGGGAGCGGGTTGGGGTGGGATTCTCCTCACCGGCACACATAAAAGCCTGTGAACCAGGAGTCAATTAGCAATCTGGAAATATGCTTGGGGGGGAGACAGGAGGGGGGGGGAAATCAGAGGACAGCTAGAGGGGAGCAGGGGAAGGGGGGGGGGATGGGTCTGCAGTTTGTATGAGGCAGAGCGGGGGAGGAGACAACAAAAGGGAGAGGAGGCTGCGCTCTCATTTATTATTACAGTCCTGATTTACAGTCAGCCTGGAAGGTCAGCAATCCACTGGCTCTGGCACTCAGTGGG